CTATTACCCTATTACATATACTCTTTTTGTATGACTATGTTTGTGATTTGACTGAGCTTGTCTGAGTCAGATAGTGTACCATTTATTTCAATATTGTATTTATATTTTAGCTATAGCGCTTATTTCAAACCAAATATATCTTCAAATTATTTTTTACTTCTAATTTTTTAAGAACTTTTTTTTTAACATGACGTTATTAACGAATACAGATATAACATCAATATAACGACAAATTTGCGTAAACTAATATCATATAATATTATTATAACGTTATTATAACATTAAGATGATGTTATATTTGAAAAATATAACGCCAATTTTCAAGATGTAACATCATTATAACGTTGTTATGACATCAAAATGATGTTATATTTGAAAATTATAACGTCATTTTTCAAGATATAACATCATTATAACAATAAATATTGTTCTTATATTGATAATATATCTTGAAAAATGATCTTATATTGTTCAGATATAACATCATTTTGATGTTATTATGACGTTATATTGATGTTATATCTTGAAAACGGATGTTATATTTTTTAAATATAACATCATTTTGATGTTATAATGACGTTATATTGATGTTATAATGATGTTAGTTCGCGCAACTTTGTCGTTATATATTTTTTAAATATAACATCATAATTTTTTAGTGTGTACCCACCGGGCATTCGAACATTTAATCAACGTTTAGTTAATGTTCGTTCTAAATGTTTAGAATTTATTTAGTTTCGATCTAGAACGTAGGTCAATCGAATGTTCCATTTAAACCATATCTAAATAGTTCGTTTTAAACGCTATTTAAACCTATCGTTTTAAACTTCGCGACGTTTAACTTTAATTTCTTTTATTTATGCTCCTTTAAATAAGCGACGTTTAACGGCGCTTATTTAAAGAATAGGGTGGAGCGATTTTCACAGCAAAAAAAAATATTCCTGAGTCACGAATCGATGTCTATTAATTATAAGATGAAAGTAAAAAAATATTTTTTGGTTTTGATAAGATCTTAAGGTTCCTCTTTGGATTCTAAATCCTTGACGGATCCTAATATTTTTAATATTTTTTTTTTTTCTAAACTATATCAACCTTGGACTCAAAAAAAGCAGAAAAAAAATGCTTGTTTTATCAATAATAATTTTATTAAAAAAAAAATTTTAGTGAAAAAAATATTTGCAAAAATATACCTTAAAACCCCCGTTTTGATAAAGACGGGGGTTTTTTAATGAAAAAAACGACATTATTTTTTTCTCTTCAGTTTTAAATTAAAACAAATATTATATTCAAAATAAACGTATTATTCTGCATCTTTTGAGTACCAGGTTAATATAGTTTAGAAGAAAAAAAGTTTCAACAATATTAGGATCCGTCATAAATTTAGAATCCAAAGAGAAACCTCTAAAACTCATTTATATTAAAAAAAAAAAAAAAAAAAAAAAAAAGTAAGGCTCTTTTTTCACCTAAAGACATCAATTCGCAGCTCAGGCTAATCAAATTTCGAAAATTTTTTAAATCACTCCACTCTATTAAAGAAGCATAAATAAAAGAAATACTGATAAACAAATCAAACTTTTCTTTTATTTAAGCTGCTTTAAATAAGCAAAGTAAAGAAAAGTTAAACGCTGAACGCATTATCTAAATACTCATAAACAAATTAAACGTTAAACAGATAATTTTTTATTTATTTAAGTCTAAAATACAAGTAAAATCATTTTATTTATTATTATATGTATTATCGTATTCGTCATCATGATCAGCTCCATAATGATCATCGTTATCTTTGCTTGAACCGATTAAGCCTCTTTGTCTTAAGAGTTAGAAAAAAAGGACATAACCTTAAAACATAACCTTTCTTATTTCCACCTGTACGGAAGATGTGGAGATACCGACAGTTTCACTACAACATAAATAAACATGTAAAAATAAAATTGTAATTCTTAAAGTTCTTAAAGTTAAAAACTAATCAATAAACATAATAATTAAAATTTATATACCAAAATCATATATGTACTAACATGCAACTCAAGCTAAAAATTAAGTATTACTTGATCAATCCATTAGTTAGTGTTTTGATATAGTAGTTATGTAAATAATGGTATTTTAGAACTCAATTTTCGAGCTAACAGAAAAAGAGACTTTGCAAGTACTAATGGTTAAATAACTATATAGATATATTATGTATGCAAAGTTATCTTAAATAAAAATTTACTAAAGCATTGTAAACTTGATTTTAAAAAGTCTATCCTAAAAGGATTACATTGCTAAATATGTTCTTAAGTCATAAAATTAGCAGGTTTATTTAAAAGTAAAGAAGTTCTATATAAAAGATATAAATTTAGACATTTTACTTGATTGTACCATTCTACAGTCTTTTGGTATAGTAGTCACAATTGATTTAAATAAAGATATCTTAGAATGCAATTAAATGCTTAAGACAAGGTGGCTGTGGAAGTGGTTTAACTAAAATGTAAATCCGAGTGTATATTGTTTGAGATATATTCATTACAATTATTATTAGTCTTCAAAGATGTAAAGTAGGACAACATTTGTAACTTTTTTTTTTATACTTGAATGCATCATGCATGCATGCTATATTATAATATTGAATGCATAAATAATGCATGCAAGTACTTCTAGCACTAAGGTCTTCACGTACTTTATTTCATGTTTATTGTAAAATCAAATTAGCTAACCTGTCAATATTCATACCTTTTGCATCAACATTAACATAAAATTCTTCCTTAACTGAAAAATAAAAACTATTTTACTATACCGTAAAAATGGTTAATCATTTACTCATTAAAATGAGTATTATTTTCAGTTTATATATTATTAACTTTCATAATGTAATAAAATAAATGAAAAACAATGCAATAAATATTTCAATAGCTTTTAGATATAGAGCATAAGATAAAAACAGAACAATTTAAACTCTCTTTTAACTAATTTAAACTTTAAAGACTCTAACCAATCATCAACGTACTTTTTAAATATAACAGGAACTACCTTTAATCTCACATTATTTATAAGCGTTGAATTTTTATAAATAGCTTTTTATAACCCTGAGTAATTAGATTATGATTAAAAATTAAATATCTGACAGATGTTCAACTATTAGAATTATATCTAAAGGTTAATAGTTATTTTTTTATTAATCACTTTATCTTGTGATTAATAAAAAAATAACTATTAGTTTTAAAAATCGCTGCAGTGATTATTTACAGAAATAGCCATTAACTTAATTATTATTTTAGGAAAATCTAAATTTTAAAGGAGTAAAAACGTCACATAAAATCAATTTACCACTTGCAGGTGTACTTGGCTGTTTCCTGCTGCTTTAATTGTTGTTGCAACTGACTGGACTGTACATAAAATATTAAATGAAATTAAACACGCAAAACTTAATTAACAACAAAAAATATATTTGCGCAGATTTCAGAAAATTATGTAATATACCTATATATATATTATTGTTTAAACCATGTTAACTTTTCTACTAAAGAGAAAATAAATGATACAATATAATAATCTATCGTATCAGACGTAAGTAAATTTATTTTCTCTTTAGTGGTTATCATATGGAGTATGAATAATACTTAAATTTTTAAAAATATTTTTTAGTTTACACTAAAAGTCTACACTAAAACTGAAGATCCATTATATAAATATTTGAACCTCACAATTTTTGATTGGCACTGACTACTAAAAGTATAAATATTATAACATTGCTATTCGATCAATATAACATCTATCATAAACAAATAGATGTTATGTCTTAATATAAACAAACAATAATTTTATTTAGTTATTTAAAAGTAGTTACCACTTAAAATGCATAATTTTTCTCTAAAAATTTTAGAGAAAATTTATGCATTTTAAGTGGTAACTATTTTTTATAATTTTTCTACTTTTAGTAAAAATAGAAAAATTAGGAAGCTAAGAGTTAACTATAGACGTTCTATAGCGTTGTTAAAAACCAAACAGAAAAATCAAATTAAGAAATAGTTTTAAAAAATGCTGAAACTGATACTTTTTTGAAACTACTGCTACTTTTTTGAAACTGCTATTTTAGTAGCAATAACTAAAAAAAAGAATTATCAAAATACATTGTTACTGTACTTAAAATTACTTTTAATCGCTTATACAATATTATCGAAGAACTTACAGGACTTTTTAGCTGCTTTATTAGCCACAATATAATACTAAAAACAAATTTCTTTTATCTTTTGTAAACCATTTATTATATAATTTAAGATTCATAATTTTTAATCATGATGAAAGATTCAAAATGTCTGACACATTCTGTGCGAAACTAATTTAAAGCTACATCAAACTATTTCCGTACGGAAATAGTTTGATGTAGCTTTTCAACGCAATTTAAATATTCAGAACACGTTTAGAATAGATTCCTAAACGTTTAGATCGACGTATATGCCATCTAAACGTGATCTAAACCAATTTTAAACCGACATATGCCAGTTGGGTAAACTTGTTTAGATGCCTCAGATTTTACTGCGATCTCTACAGAATGTCAATTGTTAGGCATGTCAATTATAAAGAGTTTTAGGTTTGATTAAGTACTCTCAGATTTTCAGACATGCTAAGAGTTGTTGGGTGCTCAACCTAAATATCATCAACAGAAACAAATTTGTCCCAAGAATCAGCATCAAAATTTATTTTCATTAAAGATTTAAGTTTTGTTTTAAAATTAATGTCTTATTTCCATGCTCTCATTTTAGAATTTGGTTGAGAGCTTGGTTTCTTATATTCAAATTTTCATCCAGCAACATGCAGTACAGGAAATTTTCTTACAAACAACATTATGAAATAGCAAACCACATTACACAATATACTTGAACAATATATTTATTTATTACTAATAACTCAGGAGATGATTTATCAGTCCTAATATAAGCCATCATTATTCTTAGAGCCAAAGTTATATATATATATATATATATATATATATATATATATATATATTATATATATATATATATATATATATATATATATATATATATATATATATATATTAGGGATATGACAATTTCATAACCCTATATGCCCATATGATAATTAGTGAAGGTTTTGTGTAAAAATAACGAATAAGTAAGTATTTTTTTTTTGCTTAAAATAAGTTCACCCTCCAAATGAGAAAATGATATGTCTAAGATATAACATGAAAGTATATTCACATAAAAGTTGCATCGTTTTACAATAACATTTTACATTTCACAATACATCATCCATAAATAAATATATCAGTATTTTTCTAAGGTTCATTACTCAGGTCTTGCATTACTTTTATGGCACGCTCGGTACAGATATTTGAACGCTGGGTTGCTATAGGCGTAGGCTCCACTGACCAAAACTTCCTCAATATAATCTTTACGAGCTTCTGACAAATTATTAAAGTCGGCAAGATTGAAGAACTGAAAAGAGAACCAAACTTTTGACCATGAACCATAGATGAAATCACATGCCACTTTTGCTGTTTGTCTAAACTCTGGCATGAGGATAAAACTAAGCAAAACATAAATGACTCTTGAGTTCCATCTTGCATTACTGATAGATGGAAGTGATCGGAAATGTACTTTTGGGAAACTTCTTGTACTTTTGAAATACCTGTAGCATGATACTAAGTGATCAAGAAAGGACATGTCATCTCGCCAGCGATCCTATTCTACTTTCTCATGTTCTTTTCCTGTATTATTAAATGATTACTTCAATTGCTCATTTTGTCCTTTTATTTGTGAAATAAAGGAATAACAGATGTTTGGTGAATTCGTTGTTCCCCCAAAATGATAATTCATGACGTGTTTCAATATTGTATCCAGAATATGGTGTTAACAACCAATAAACACAAGTTTTTCTAATCCAATATATTCAAAGTGCTTCTGCAACAGTGTGACAGATCCCATATTTTTTCCAGTATTATCTGCAATTGTATCAGAAACAATCATTTTTATTGAGGGCCATAGTTCAAAACAACTACCTGATATTCCTTCTGTATAATCATCATTTTTTAAATTTTCCTTGAAATTTCTTTTTAGTTTTTCTCCTTTTTTTATTACTGCTTTGTAGATGCCACTCTGAGTTGGAATAGGTATGGAAACTCTTTTGGAAGCTTTTGGACAAAGTTTCACATACTTTGTGGGCCTTCCTTGTACTCAGTTTTGTTGAAATTATCAAACATACTGCAGAATCAGTTCTTTGCCTTTTACAGGAAGAAGGTTTCGCATAAGCTACTATAACTTTGTTCTTCACTCATAAATTTTTCTGTTTCTGTAACTGTTTCCAAATCTTCTTCACTACTTTCTTCAATAGACTCTTGTATGACTGACACTCTTCTTTTAAGCATCTTCACTTTTCTTGGATGTATCCCCTCTGTATCTTCTTTTGTGGTACAATATCCTACTTTCCCTTTTGTCGAAACCTGCAGTTCATAAAACTCCTTGTCTTCTCTGCTCAACCATTCTCCTTTCTCGTCTGTTACATTAAACAATTTACTTAAATCATTGTTTCCAGGTCTTCGAGCATGCTTTTTATTTTACTTCAGAAGCTAGAGTTTTAAATCTGTCAAAGATATTCTGCTCCATTGGAATTCTTTGCATCTGATCAAGACTGTCAGTATACTTTCTTGACTTTTTGCATATTTGAAATTGCATAAGATTTGAAGATTAAATCTCCTTATTCTTCTGTGAAGGAGGCGCGTTCTTAGACATGGCAGTTCCAAAGTTGTAATTATCCGGATATTAAACAATCAGTTAAATGCTGTGTTGGTGCCAGAAGAAACAAATTATTGGAATCTTAATATTAGATTACTAATAAATATGAAATTTATTAGATAAAAAGTATTTATAGGAACTTAGAGTAACGTACATAACAAGATCTTGAAACATTCATATTTAGTAAATAGAGAGCTACAAACAATTCAAATGTTAAAAATTTACCCTCCAAACAGACTTTATTTACTTGTAGGTAATTTGTCTTTATAGAACATGAAAATTGCTTTATTTCTAATTATATTGAATTATTATATTAACAAATGTTACAAAGCTCAGTATTTGGATAAGGCAGCCTATGTGTAAAATTAGAATCAGTTTGGAGGGTGACTTTTTTTCAAGGTTGAAATATTTTAATGATATATTCTTGAAAGAAATGATGAATGTCCACTCATAACAATAGGGGCAATAAAAAATTCCAAATATTTTTTTCTAGTCATATACCTAATATATATATATATGTATATGTATATATATATATATATATATATATATATATATATATATATATATATATATATATATATATATATATATATATATATATATATATATATTATATATATATATATATATATATATATATATATATATATAAATATATATATATATTTTCTAAATAATTTTTTCCAAAAAAACCTGAACTCACCCCCCACACACCCCTATCGCGCCGGCCTTGTGAATGGTTGTTGTAATAGTAATTGCTTGCAGCCTTCTTAGAAGCGAAGATGAAAAAAAAAAAAGTACATTGTGTAATGTGGTTTGCTATAAAGCGCTCTGATATATATATATATATATATATATATATATATATATATATATATATATATATATATATATATATATATATATATATATATATATATATATATATATATATATATATATATATATATATATATATATATATATATATATATATATATATATATAATATATATATATATATATATATATATATATATATATATATATATATATATATATATATATATATATATATATATATATATATATATATATCAGGGACGGATCCAGCATTTGTTAGTCTTCGAGATATCTAACTTTCAGACATGGAGCTAACTCCAAGCATTTATATGTTCATACTTATTTCAAATAAAGAGACTTTGCAAAAAATTGCATTTGTTGGAGCAAGTGAAAAAACATTTCATCATCTTGTTGCTCTCACTTTTGGAGCAGGGGGGAAAAAATTTTGAAGTTTTTTTTTCCCAAGCTCCAATCATAGCAATTTTTTGGAAAGCATCTTTTTTTAAAATAAGTTTAGACATATATATACATATATACATATATATATATATATATATATATATATATATATATATATATATATATATATATATATATATATATATATATATATATATATATATATATATATATACACAGTGGCGGAACTTCAAAATTTGGGCCTCCCCGCAAAAGAATGTTTTTTTATATTGTACTGTATATATATATATATATATATATATATATATATATATATATATATATATATATATATATATATATATATATATATATATATATATATATATATATATATATATATACATATATATATATATATATATATATATATATATATATATATATATATATATATATATATATATATATATATATATATATATATATATATATATATGAATTAAAAATTGAGAGTTCAAGTGACGTATTTAAATATAAAACCATGTTTCTCAAAGTTGTAAAATTATGTATATAATATAAAAGTCAATTATTTGTTGTTTTGATTTTTTTTTTGGTTGAGAATTTTGAGGTATACCATCAAAGATGAAATGGTAAATTCGGGTCCCGATTTTACGACAAACAAAAAATTTACCGAATGAAAGAACGAACTTACCATACTTTTCACCTCTACCGAATACTTATAGTTTAAAAGAACAATTTAAGTCATTCAAATCTAATATGTGTTTTTGATATTGACTGTAAAATAATTTTATGAAAAAAAGCTTGTTTAGTTTTATTTTTCTTATTGCATAGTTATTTAACATTAATATTCAGTTTTCATTTAAGTCTTAAATGAACTTAAATAAAAATCAAAATTTTAAAGCTTTTAAATTTTGAGCGGTGATTAATAAAATCCATATATGTTTTTAGTTCTAATCAGGAGGATAGCGTTTTGAATATTTTCTGAAATTCCTTTGAAATAATCAATGTTTATATTTTATTTTTCTTAGACTTTTACTTCACCAACACTAATAAAATAAAGAGAAAATTTAAAAGTTCTTATATGAAAACTAAAATAACGTTGAATATCTCTATGCAATAAGAAAAGCTTTGCCAAGACAACGCTAGGGTTCTTGGTTTTTATGAAACCAACACAATACTGTTATTGACTTATGAAATGTTATTTTCGTATTTATGTTAGATTTAACAATATTGTTCAAATGCTTTGTATATAACAACATATATGTCAGATTAATTCAAATTTTTCATAAATTTTTTATTCCTTGTATGTAAAGACATATTTGTATTGTGCTTATTAATCTACCATGATCTGTAAATTTTAATGAATTTTGATCATGTCAATCTATAGACTTATTTCATATCTTAATGTTTAACATAGATTTGTTTTAAATATAAAGATAACAAATTTTAAATTACAAACAACTTACATTAATTATAGAGTTTTAGTATAACTTTTTGATATTTATTTTATATTTAGATTATAAATTTCTTACTTTTATTTATTTATAAATTGTATATATATATATATATATATATATATATATATATATATATATATATATATATATATATATATATATATATATATATATATATATATATATATATATATATATATATATATATATATATATATATATATATAAATAATTTGATTTTTCTAAAATAAATGGAGTTATATAAAATATATGAGCCATTATTTAAATAATATTTTTGTACTAATATTATTTTGTTGTAGAGACTGATTAATTAAAGTAGAGTATGAACAGACAAAATACAATGTTTCAGTCTCACTATGATCAGTATCCTATGTATCAGTCCCAAAGATATTTAGATCAACAACAGGGCAGTCAGCAGCAACAATATCCTATTGAGAATGACAATTCTGAGTTAAAAGAGTTTGGTGACATGGGTGCAGCTGTGAAAAAGTTTGCAGAAGCTAGTTATTCTAAAACTAATAATTATGATTCTGTAGATGTTGCTGAAAATATTCCTGAAATAAATGATTTTAACCCTTATAGAAAAAGTCATGGTTTGGTTGCTTGGGATAATTTTGGAGGACAAATTCCTGATCCATATCAAAGATTTGAAGATTTTAGAGGTTTAAACCCTGCTCAATTAAAAGCACTTTACAATTCAGGTTACAAGGCTCCTACTCCTATTCAAGCTCAAACATGGCCAATTGCGATGTTTGATCGGGATGTTGTATCAATTGCAAAAACTGGTTCAGGTAAAACGCTAGCATTTTTATTACCAGCATATATGAAAATAAATCTCAGAAGATCTCAAGGTACAATTTCAGTATTAGTTTTAGCCCCAACAAGAGAATTAGCTACACAAATTCAATTAGAAGCTGAAAAGTTTGGAAGTGTTGCTGGATATTATAGTGCATGTGCCTATGGTGGCGCACCAAAACGTAATCAGCTACAAGCAATTAATTCTGGAATTTCCGTTTTAGTAGCCACACCTGGTAGATTAAACGACTTTCTAGAGTCTAATGAAGTTAACTTGTCATCAGTTTTTTATTTAGTTTTGGATGAAGCTGATAGAATGCTTGATATGGGTTTTGAACCACAAATTCGAACAATTATAAGATGTTTACCTCGTAAAAGGCAAACCTTGATGTTTTCAGCCACTTGGCCAGAAGAGGTAAGGCGTTTAGCTGATGACTTTTTATATCAACCAGTTCATATTCGTCTTGGGATTGTCGGTGGTAGCACTAGTAGTGGCTTGCAAGCTAATGAAATGATTAAACAACATTTAATTTTATTAAATTCAGGTGAAGACAAGGATGGAGAACTTATTAATTTGATTAAATCAAGATTTCATCAAAATAGAGATCTGGTTCTGATCTTTGTTGCCAGGAAAAACACCTGTGATTTTTTAACTAATATTTTAAATCGAGTGGGGATAGCAGCCTCTGCTATGCATGGTGATCGAGATCAAAAGTACAGGGAAAAAACTTTGGCTGCTTTTCGAGATGGTTCAAGACCTATAATGGTTGCTACAGATTTAGCTTCTAGGGGTATTGACGTTAGAGGTATCAGTGCTGTGATAAACTATGATCTTGCAAATAGTACAGAAGATTATGTTCATCGAATTGGAAGAACTGGGCGAGCTGGCATGTCTGGTGAGTCATTCACATTTCTCACACGCAGCAATGATGATATTTGGAAAGCAATAGGAATTGTTGAGGTTATGGCAAAAACAGGTCAGTATCCTCCACCAGCTGTTCAGGAACTTATCAATAGGGTTAAAATGCGTCAAGAACAGAATAAAGAGCGTCGTGCTGCTGAAAATGAGCAGTTTTCGAAAGTACTTATTGTTGCAGAGAAGCCTTCTGTTGCTAAAATGATAGCTGAACAATTATCTGGAGGACATTTTCGCACAAGACGTGGCAAAAGTCGTGCTAATCAGATTTTTGAATTTATAAAATGGTTTGGACCCGCTCAACAAAAATGTAAGTTAATGGTGACATCAGTTGTAGGCCATATCTTTGGATTAGGGTTTGCTGGCCGTCCAGACAGAGATATATCAAAGTTGTTTGATGCTTCAGTAGAAAAACAACTTGCTGATAGCACAAAAAAATTAAACATTGTTGAACATTTACAAGAATTAGGTCAAGAATCTGAATATCTTTTCCTGTGGTTGGACTGTGATAGAGAAGGAGAGAATATTGGTTTTGAGGTAATATCTTTGACTCAACAATGGATTCCTTATGATAATGTGTACAGAGCACGATTTTCTGCACTCACAAAAACTGAGCTTTCACAAGCATATGATAATCCTGTAAGACCTGATAAGTATGCAGCAATGAGTGTGGATGCAAGACAGGAACTGGATCTCAAAATTGGGGTAATAATTTTTTTAATGAGTTTTAATTGTCATCATAATTTTTTTATGTAAATGTTCTACATAATTGGGTTAAACATTAATAGACTGAGATAACTTAATTATCCCTAATTTAGCCCTAATTTTGCCCAGATCCTAGTTTAAACAAACAAAGCTAATTTAAATGTTTTAACATGTTCAGAGAGAAATACCACAGTTGCCTGTTACACACTCTGTTTCCAACATTCGACTTCTATCTAACTCTCCAGAAAAAGAAATGTTTATACACAATCTTAATGCTTTATAGATGCAAAACACTTTGACCTTCTCTATAAATCTGACTATTCCTAATCTCTATCTAAGTTCTTAGCTTGATTTTTTGTTCATTAGAAGAATCACAAATTTATTTTGCTTAGTCTTTTCCTGGTTTATTATCAACTGTCATCGACATTTGTAAAAATCTATTATCAACATTTGTAGTCTATGTTTCAGAGATATCTAAGTTTTCACATAACACATTAAACATGTATCCTGTACACTTATCCCTAAAATATTAAGCAACTTAAGATGTTAGAAGTGACTTTGACTACATACTGGGCATATTTTGCCCATAGCTCCTCTGTGTTATCTTGTCTAACTATATCTCCCAAGTAATATAAACTTAACAAGTAATATTAACTTCTTCTTCCATTATAAAATTCTATTGTTTCAAAAAATGAAAATTGCAATTTTTGATTGGTATTCAAAATTTGAGATTTCAAGTTACTAAGACTGTAATAAACAATTTCAAGAGTGTAGCCATAAAATTTTCAAAGACTGAAATCAATCAAAGTATTTACTGAAAAATTTAAATAAAAAGATTTTTTATTTTTGTTTTTTAAAAAATTATGTCAGAACTTAATCTCAGGTAAATAACTCAATATGACTATTTTATTACATAAGAAATTTTTTTAAAAATTATTTTTGCAGTTTTAGGTTCAAATAACGGCTATAATTTCTGTGAAAATAACTTTATATAGGTGAATTTTTTTATTTTGTATTTCTTACTGAATATTTTTAAAATGCACAAATAGTTAAAATATTGCTAAATTTCTAATAATTTGGTCACAAAATGACAAATATATCCATTAAGGAAACCAGTGTGATATCATACTGAAATAGCCTGCTTCTGGGATCTTTAGTACATACATTGACTGACAAATAGTCTGACTCGCAACGGAGTGCTGCTACATCAACTGAGTTTTTGTCATGGCGCAGCAATCTTATCATTCATTTTTCTTCCTTTTTTTATTCTTTTTCTAAAAAAGCTGTATTGATTTAGATAAACAAAAAAAGTGAGCAAATGCTTACATAAATATGCTTTAGTGTATATATATATATATATATATATATATATATATATATATATATATATATATATATATATATATATATATAATTTTTTTTTTTTTTTTTTTATTAAACAAAAAATTAAACAAAGAAAATTATTATTTTCTTCATTTAATTTTTTTTTGTCAGAAAAATATGTCATTTGCATCTTCAATAATAAACACAAATATTTAATGTAAATATTTAATATTTTGATTTCAGGTAGCATTTTCAAGGTTAATGACTCGTGCATTTTTGGACATGGCAAAAGAAAAGTTTCGTTTAAAAGATCAAAAAGTTGTTAGTTATGGTCCTTGTCAAACACCAACACTTTGGTTTTGTGTACAACGTCATAAAGAGATTCAAAATTTCAAATCAACACCGTTTTATGTTGTCTCTGTTGTTGTCAACATTCAGGTAGGATAACTTTATGGTAGTATATAATTTATATCAAAATATTTTATAATACTCAACAAAATTAAAAAATGGCATGTTGGTAAATGTCGTATTGAACAAAATGGCTTGAACAAGAATTTTAATTACTATTTTTTACCTTCAAGATTTAAGTGAAAGCCTATACCTTAGCATTGTGGGTATGTAATATATATTTATAACCTTTAAGATATTTGATTTTATATGTTACATACAATATGTTTAGATCAAAGATCAAAATGCCTTATAAACTGAAACAAGCATATATAGCTCTGTTGCCTGTTTTTTGTTAAACCATAGCGTTCTCTACTACAGGCCTATTCATCGCGCAACCGGATTTTTTTGTGGAGGCCTACTTTTTTACGGCAAAAAAGATAATAACTTCGTAATTTTAAAACTAAAAAGTAATTTTAATTCTCTGTATAGCTTAATAATTGTTTTTGATGAAAAAAGAAAATTAATATTAAGTAATAAACAATGTAAATAAAAGGCAAAGAAATTTTTTCTTATTTCAAATTTCACACATTTACATAATTATATTATTTCACCTTTAGTTTTGGCTTTAACAGCTAAATACAAAATTGATATTTTCTTATATTGAGTAGAAATGTTATTAAACCAAACAAAAAATATTAGATAAATTTTGATTAAAATTGTTAACAAAATCTGAAAAAAAACCAACTAATATATGAAACTTTTATAAATCTTTTATAAAAAAGTATACTGAATATATTATAAACAGTAGACAACTAAGTAGACTTTTAAGAGATTTTTTAATAATTTTAGTGCAGGTTCTTTGCCAGATTTGCCAGAGTGACAGTGGTACATAAATTTAAAAAAAAAATGTTGCTCAATATTACACAATGATGTTCTTCCATATCCAATAAATAATAGTCTGATATAATCATAAAAATACTACTTAAAGATTTTCGGCATACATGATCTTTAACTATTTGAAAAACTACAAAACAAAAAAATGTCCATTGGCATGAATTATCAGTTGGAATTTTTAATCCACCACGATCCAAAAATTTAGAAAACTGACCATATTTCTGAAAATAGAACGTTGTTTGATCTAAAAGTTCATAATCAGTTCGTTCTTTATCATTTAGTGTAACATAACCAGCAATGTGAATAAGTGACATTTTAACATCATCAGCAATAGAAGATTCTAGATCTTGCAAGTTATCAAGAATTTCGCAGCAGTCTTCAGACAATTTGTAATCACATAATGCACATTGATGACCAGACTTCACATTAAAATTGTCAATATCTACATTTAACTTCAAAAGTAAAGATGCATGTTTGATACGTAATTTTTCAATAACTTGTTGAACACTAAGAAAATATGTACCACCAGAACCTTGACGAAGTATACTATATTCTTTTTTCAGGTGATCTGAAGTAAATTGACCAAGAAGTACATAGTTTTGCGTAGTGTTAAGTAAATATCTACATAAATCTACTAGAAATTACAAGTTGCAGTATCTTTAGAAAGCTGTTTAATACACTTACCTTTGGGACCTACCATTTTAAGTGCCATATCACCAAATTGTAGTATTAAATTTAAACGGTTGTCATCAGGATTGTTGATAACAGCCTGCAAAGGATCATTATGCCTTGTATCAGCACCAATGGCTTTGACATTTAAAATTTTCCACCAAATAATAACTTTATTAATAAATATAGCAGTGTCGTTAACAGCAATATGTATCATGTCAGGATGTTGCAAAAGAGCAGCATAAGTTTTTTCTGAAAATACTCTTAAAACTTTTAATACACACTGTCATTCAACAGGTTTAGGAGAAATAGAAGTTTCATTCAGGTCAGATAATTTTAGAAAGCTTCTAATTCTGCATTGTAAAGCTGCTCTAAATGAGTCCATTTTGCAATCCTGGTTACTCCGTTATCGTCAAATATTAATTCCTGAGTTTTTTCAGTTAACCAAAGATTACGAATATTTTTTATGAGGTGTACAAAATCATAAAGTAAATACTTTCCATCTACTGTTAACCATAGTTTTCCCGGAATGAATGTGTACATTTTAAGAAAAGCCTGATTGACACGATTCCCATCACATATAATAGCTTTTACATTTGTACTGACTGAATCAATTATTTGACTAGTTAAATTAATCTGTTCAAACAAAAAATCAGATCATAATTTTGATATTGGTATCATTTTAATTAACACCTTTGGACCCCCATTTAAACAAACAGCCATAATCCCTAACAATGTTTTGGACAATTCCACTGGGTTATCCTCCGATCTACCAAAAATAGTTCCACCATGGTAAAGCAAACTTTTTTTAGCATATATTTCATCATGCAGTATGATACATAATTTCTGCTTATCCGGAAGAGAGTTAAAAATTGAATAAATAAATTTGTTTTCATTAATATTAGAAATTTTTGAAGTAATTCGAGTCAGTGTTGAAATAGATGGAAGTTGATAATCATTTCTTAAGCGATTATATAATGCCCTTAGATGTTAAGAAATATACAAAATCTCCAACTAATTTTGGTCCCATAACTGAAACATGTTGCATAATTACTTCTTTTTTATTATCAATTTTCAAAGAGCTTAAAAAACGAAGTATCTCATCAAACTTAGACCAGGAGTCAACAGTTAAGATTCGATTTACTGTTAAGCTAGAAATGTGACACTTAATCCCATAATGAAATGTTTCAAAGGTAAGATTTTCATAAATTTTAAGTACAAAAAAAGGTATTCCATTAAAAAATTGCAAAGATTGTATAACAACATAGCCATCAACCATAAACGATATAACTGGATATTGGTGATCACTGCTATCAATAAACTTGTTTTTAATGTCACAAAAAGTAGCTTTATCCCTTTTAAGAAATGTATCTAGCTCATCATCTATTGTACTTCTAATGCCACTTAAAGATCTTTTGGTAGATCTTTCAGTTGGATAACCAGTTGGAATTTGAGATAAAGGTATTCCTAGCCAAACAGAAGGAGGATTTTTTGGTCGACGTTTTCCTCCACGCACTATAACTGTATCAAAATGTGGAGGCCAGTGTAACTCACAGATAACAGTATACTTGGTAACAACCAAATTAGAGTTTGGAATAGCTTTTATCCATTTTTCACGCTCAACGTTATCACTTGGAAACCGATACACTAATATTTTATTAACTTCACTAGATATTTTGTTTTTTTCACTTTGATAGTTGGTGTGACAAGCATACACACAACATTTATTTGGCATGATGATTTAATCTAAATTTTATAAATATATTATTTGCTTTAAATCATATCTGCAAATCCATGTTTAAATTATATAAGTTTATTAACATTGTATTATATTCCATTATTTAAATATTTGTCATAAACGACATGACATTGTATCTGGTCTGAACGTGGAAAAATAATTTTTTCGCCGTAAAAAAGTAGGCCTCCACAAAAAAATCCGGTTGCTCGATGAATAGGCCTGTAGTAGAGAACGCTATGTGTTAAACATTTAAAAACTTATTGAAGCTTAAAAAATTTTAAACATACAAAATAGGGCATTTTAAGATATTATTTTATCTTATTTTTGAAAAATTTATTTTATTTTTCTTTGAAATTAAAAAAAAAAATTTTATTAATGGTGTGTTCATAGTTGGTTTTTTAATGATTAATACAAACTTGATATAAAGTGCTGGAACTAAAGACATCAAGTAATCATCTATGGTAAATAGATGAGGTTGGTTTTAAAGATAATGTTGCAATTCTATTTTGTATAAAGTTAAAAAAAGACTTTTATATAATTTATTATTTGATTTTTTTTTTAATTAAAAAAAGGGGGAGGGGATAGGTTTATTATCCCATCACACACTTATTATCCCATCACACACATCTACCTTGTGTGTGATGGGATAAAAAATTTGTGCTTTAAAAAGTTTCAAGCTAACATGGTTTATGAATAAATGAATTTACAACAGAAAAATCACAGATTTCCAAAATAATTGTCTTGTTTTTTAAAGAATACTGTGAATTAGTATATAATTTTTGTATTTAGCACAAAAAGTGAATTTGTATATTGTGTTAGGACTAAAATATTATAAAAATATACTTTTAATTTCGGTGATTTGGTCTTAAAAAATTATATTTCCGGCTAGAACCAGAATGAACTTAAAGTCACACATTTCGGTACATCCCTAAAAATTGCATGATTTGCCTTCTAAATTTACTTATCATATTTACGCTCCTCCTACCCCACCCTCTCTATTTAATGTTTTTGTTGAATATTTTAATTAATTCTTAAACAACATAGTATAATAAAAGTTCTTTTAACATTCTTTTTTACCAAAATTCTATTCAATTAAAAAAAGTTTTTTTTGAATGACCTTGATGCTTTATTTGATTTCATATAATTTAGATTTTTTCCAATTTAGATTCAACCCAATAAAGTAATAACAAAATGATAATCCAATAATGAAAATTGTTATTAAAAAAAAACTTTAGCAAAGTTAAACAAATAATAATAATCATTACTAAACAAGGAAAAATATGTTTGAACTGAGTTGTCTCTTGTAAATTGGAGTTTTCCTTTAGACTTGAGCTAACAATTACTATCATCATTTTCTGTATTTTAGAGAGAAACTTCTGAAAGAACGGAAAAATTAGCCAGTACTACATACTTCAAAAACAATCTATAAGAATAAAATAACATGGGATAGTGTTGAAAAGATTCTTAGTAAAAAAAAAAGAGATAGCAAAGTCTTGCCAAGCATTATTGTCAAGAACAACACTCATATTTTTGATGTAAAATTGATAGCAGCAGAATTTAATGATTTTTTTGTAAACATGGGTCTAAACTTAGCAAGTAAAATTATAAAGTTATCTTTAAAATTTTAGTTAAAATTTTATTACAAAACCTTACTCATAGTTGCTCAATAAAAGAATTAAAATTAAATGTAGCAAACAGGCTATGATTCTATTTCAACTAGCATAATTAAAGTTTGCTATGGGTTTCTCAAAAAATTTCTAATAAATATTTTTAACAAATCACTAAAAAAGATATTTTTCCAAATAAATTGAAAGTAGCAGTCATTACACATATTTTTAAAACAGGAATAGAATTAGTCTCTAAGTAGTACTTAGAGATCTAATTACAAATTGCAGACATATATCGATGTGTTACCATGGCATATCATCATATTATATATAATTATTAAAGGAAAACAGTCTGCTTTGTTACCAATACTTATAATTTCTAGTTTAACTTGATTTTCAATCAAGTTTCACTAGAAAACATGCACTTATGCAATTTGTTAAAATTATCAAAGGAGCATCTTCTCATAATAAATTTATTTAATTTTTTAGATGTGTCAAAAGCATTTGATAAGGGAAAACATTCATTTTTGTTTATTATCACACCATGCGCATCCCTCACCACCTTCACAAGATCTCTAAGAATGTTGGAGCTGTTTTTAAAAACTGGGATAGGGATTGGGTTTTTTGGCTTTTGTAGTGTATTCCTATTATATTGTAATATTGACTAGCATAATATAAAGTGCACCCGGTGAGATCTGTCGCAAGGACATGCCCCTGACGAGTGGCGTTAGCACAGATCTCAGGCTCTCCGAAACGTCATTGGTGATTGCAGTGCATTCCTGAGGAGGGGGATCACTATTTATCCTCTACTTAATTCTATATGGTTAATATGGCACCAACATTTTTTTACCTCTTACACTCATGATTTTTTACAAATCTGCATTAGAGAGTTACGAGCATTTAATTGGCATGTTATATTTGATTTATAATTATTTCCTAATATTGCAATTTGCAATCACTTAATTCAAGTATTTTATTAGAAAAAGTAAAATATTATGAAATATTGCAAACAAAGTATTGTCAATCAAGATTCATTGTTTCATTTTTTTTAATAATACACTTTTTTTCTAATAATACACTAATCCTGTCTTGTAAGTATTAAATATACTTTATATAGTATATTTTTTATTTAGTGTTTTACTATTTTTTAATTTATTACTTGATAAATAAATAATAGAGGGGGAGGTAGGCAAATAAGCCATTTTGTGTGATGGCAATAGGCAAAGCAGCAAAATATGAAATAATTAAGACAAATAGAGAATAATCTAAAAAAATTTTGGTGATACTTATTTGTGTCATCACTCTTGACACAAATAAGTATCAAGTAAGAGTAATATTGCATTACAGTTAAGTAACATTAAAAAATATTTAATTAAAAAAAAAGTAAATTAAAAAAAAAAAGTTTCTTGGTAAAGGGGAAGATATTAGGATATAATCAATATTTAAAAAGTGCTGTTTAAAATTTAATGGTTACTCTGATTGATTTCAGTTTTCTTTCAATTCACTATATTAAATGCATTTCTTCTAAGAGTGCTTGTATCAAGATAAAAACCAAAAACAATGGATAAAAAGATTTATGAAATAAAGAAATTCACATTTCTTTATTTCATAAATCACATTTTGTTATTATATATATTTGTTTTTCGGTACATGTAAACTGTTTATGCTATGGTTTGTTCAGCTTAGTGATCGATATATCACTTTTGGTAATGTCAAAAAGTGTAAACAATCTCTAAAAATTAGATATGTGCCTAAATGCTGTTGATGGCAAGTGTTTTTGATTTGTTTGTTAAATAGTTTTAATATGTTTATAATATGTTTAGCATTTTGTATTCTTTGCTCAGATTAGTTTTATAAGGATGTTCAACACATCTCGCTTTTACCTTCAAAAGAAAAATTACAAAAAAGCTAAGCAGTTAAAAATGGATGAAACCATCTGTTTTTTAACTATTTAGCGAGCTGGTGTTGCTTGCTTCTATATTTAGGTGGTAGTGGTAGATTACTTTAAAAGCAAGAAGTTTTATTTATTATTTTACAGCTGGTAATGAAATCAGTTAACAATGGAGTCATATGGCAATTTATGGCAGGCTTTGTTTTAAATAAAAAAATGGCTTAGCTCATTAGCTTCTCATGGTTTTGATGTCATAAAATTATCTTTATTTATTTTTCTGTTTAAGGACATTAACTATTTTAACTACTGTAATAAAATAAGTTACAATAAAACAAGTTTATTTTACAAATTAAGAAAAACAAGTGTTTTTTTCTAAATGTCTATTTAAATTTAATTTTTTCTGTCTTTGATATTAATTAATTAAATTGCTTTCTTTTCTCGACATTTGTATAAATGAATTAAAATACCTTAATTTTTTCATTATTTTTTAAAGTTGCAACTTTGCAAATAATGATTTTTTGTTTTTAAAAATTTATTAACAAACAAAAAATATTACTTGTTGCAAAGAAAAAAAAACTAAAGTTAATAAATTTACCAGCGCTTTTTTTTTGTGACGAAGATTTAAGTTTCCAAGTACCATTTATTAAAAAATATATACGGTTGTGCGTTTACTTGCCTTAAGGCAAAAAAGTTAAACGTATGTATTTATAAAAAAAGTTAAACGTATTTATGAATAAATTTGATGTAGTATTAAAAGTTATGACATTATTACAAGGAATTTTTTTTGTTGTAAAAAATATAAAAGAAGGAAGAAAAATCACGAAAAAAAAAATCTTCCCTAATTTTTTTTATTTTAATAACTTTTTTATTCAAAATTCTTTCTAAATTATAAAGAAATATATGTTTTCCCTTTTATGAAGCTGATGTAACTTTTATAAAATGTTATTTTTCTAAACTACTATTTTTCACAAAATTATTTTCAAAAACTTATAAATATAAACAAATTCTTTATATGTATTTATGATATATTTCCTTTTTAATTTCTTTTTTTTAAATATTAATAATTTTTTGAATTGATAGATTGCCTTTCCAAACCACTGTATTAGTACTCATTGCATGTTTTAACTATTTAAGTTAGTCAATGTATGCATACTTTGTCCATCTTCTACCTATTTAAGTCAGTTTACGCATGCTATACTAATTCTGTTATTAACAAATAAATTAAATAATAAAAACAGAAAAAAACTAAAAATAAAATCATTTCAATTGAATATTATGTCAAATGCACATAAACAGATAAAAACATATAGATAGATTTTGCAAATTATATTTAGGGTCAAAATATTACTTTAAAATGGGTCAACGACACTGTGAAAAATGCAGAAGATCTCAGACAAATGGAGTCAATTATACAAAGAAATCCAGTTGCACATATTGTTGATGTTAAAGAAGATAAAAAAGTCGTATATAAGCCAATAGGTTTAAATACAGTAACGTTATTAAAGTCTTGCTCCAAAGGATTTGGTATTTCGCCAACACAAGCAATGAATATAGCTGAGCACTTATACACATCAGGTTATATTTCATACCCACGTACTGAAACTACTCGATATCCTCCAACTTTTGATCTTGTTGGTACCTTGGAAGAACAAGTCAATAATCCAAATTGTATGTTTATACTTTTCATTTAATTAAACAAAAAGATCTCATGTTTATTTATTATATTTATCTCATGTTTACATATATATTTGTTTCATGTTTACATATTTTTTTGTGTTTAAATAAAATTAGTTAATTTTTGCATATTATTTCTTGTATAAATCTGTTCCATTTTAATTATTTCTTTTATAACTTGGATAAAACAATAAAGAGTAATTGAAAATAATGTTATTTTAATATTATATCATAAATTATTATAAGGATGTGAAGAATATTGTGATGAATACAGTGATGTAATTAGGCCAAAATTTGACAATGGCATACTGGTTTGGGTACCAATTGATTGGATACCTAAACTATTTTGTTCAAATTAATCTACCCAAGCTCGAAAACAAATATAATTGCCACTTGAAAAACTGTTATAAATAAGCTTTTTTTTTTTTTTTTGAATGATCCGCTTTGATCAATTAAACTGAATTTGAAGTTAATTAAACTGAAGCAATTGAATGTGCACAAAATATTATAACAACAACTTATGTAAATTTTTTTTACAAAAACTGGTTAACAGATTCAATATGTAAGCAAACATATTAAACAGACAAGAACTGTTTGTCATAAAATAATTTCTAAGAAGATCTGCTGATTTCTAAAGATTATAAAAAATAAAAGAGCTTAAAGGAATCCTAAACCTCCAAAACATGTTGTGTTCATATTAAAGAGAATGATTTAAAAAAATGTTTGGGGTAAATTTTTTTGATCAAAACAAAGGAATAAATGCATGGTAAGAAAAACTAACTTTTTTATTTTAGTCAAAGCTCGTCTTATCCGTTTTGTTGTAGTCCAAAAAGTCAGCATAATATACATCGCAATCTACAGACTTGATAATTTATTCAAGCACGTTTTAATCTTAAGAGTTTAGTACATGATTTTAGTCTGACTTTTTTTTTGTTTATATTATCAATCTTTTATGCAAAAAAAAAAAATCCTTGACGTCATTTACTAAAACTCTTAGGAATAAATTATCAAGTCTGTAGATTGCAGCCTTGTGCTGAATTTTTGGCAAAAAATTCAGCACAAGGCTGAATTTTTTGCCAAAAAAATTCAGCATGCATGCTAAGAAAAGTTATTTTTTCTTAGCATGCATTTATTTTTTTGGTTTAATCAAAAAATATTTAGCCCAAACATTTTTTTTTTATCATTCTCTTTAATATGAACATAACATGTCTTTGAGGTTTGGGATCCCTTTAAATCATTAATAAAATTTGAAAACTTTTCAAGTTTTTTGTTTGTTTGTGTTGTTTTTATAGCTTTTATTGCTTGTTTATACATTTTAACTTTTATAAAATGATTCTTTTAAATTAATTTCTTTTTTGCTTAATACAATAATACTCTTTTATAAAAAATAAAATAAAAAGTACTAAATAATTTTTTATTGACAGAAACCAATTACTAGAAAAAAAGGTATGAAACCATAAAATGATTTCTTCATTGTCTAATACATTTCCTCTTGTAAGTAGTAAGTCTTTTAGTGGTATTATTTTTTATTAATTATGTAACATTAGGTTTTCTTATTATTTTTCTGCAATAGCCCAATCAAAATTTGTTAAACACTAGTTGTTTTTAGTTGTTAAAGGAAAAAACTTTTGCAAGTTAATATCTTTGCGAAAAATCTAGAAAGTTTATATCATAGCTTACTGTGTACTTTACCTCTTTACTGTGAATTTTATATTTTTATGTGTACCTTATATGGCAAGTTTAAATCTTGGCTTACTGCTCAACGCAACTAAGGCGTAGAACAAACAAACTTGTAAAAAAAAAAAGAAGCCGATAATTAAAAAAAAATTGGTTGGTTGTTAGTGGGAAACTGAAAAACTTTTTATTTATTGGTATTTAATTTATGCAAACAAAGAATTCGAATTGAAAATAAATTTGTTTATAAAGTTTACCACCTGTTTTTTAATTGTTTACCCAATAGTTTATTATTTCAAGATGGCCGAATAAGTTCCAAGTATTTCAAAAAAAAGATACTAAATACCAAAAACAATTTTTTAAATGGGACTAAAAGTTATGATTATTTATGCAAAAACCATATTGGTAGAAAAATTAATATTACTATAGGTTATCTAAATCTAACGTGACATTGTTGTTAAATATACTCATTTAGGTGTGATATTGAAAATAGTAACTTCAATTTTCATAAAAAAATGGTTTTTCATGGATAATTTTCTTAAATAATGTCTGATTAAAAATGTCAAGTTACATTCGTTGAAAACAAACACCAATATGTGCTCTTATGAAAAAATCAAATTCATAGACTTATCTATAGCCAAGCCCCAAGGTACTTTATTCTAAAAATTGCATCTTTTCTAAATAAAATTAAGCTTGACAATTTGTTATAGTCGCATTACTTTTACCAGTTTATAATATTGGTTAAAATAACCTTTCCATGCATACCAAATATGTCATACTTTTTAATGAAAAAACTTACATGTATTGCAATTTAAAAAACTTATATTTTTGTTCGGAAAAACGTGTACCAGGCGTGTAGTTGCATTGAGTGTGCATCTTACTGTGTTTTAATAAAGCTTGTATATTATTGGTTGTTAAATATAATTTTTTGTTTAAAATATTGATTTTAAAACATGTTGTATAATTTAATTTTATAATTAAAATTTTTTTAAATAATACTTGTATATGTGCTATTACACAAAATAAAAAAATATTCTTTTTCCTTTTTGGAAAATTTTGTTTTTATTTTACTATTTGTGATTTTGTTTTTATGACTTTGTTTTTAATGACTCATTGTAAAAAAAAAAATTGTTTACAAGTTTTTATATTTTTTTAATTTAAGGGGGTAGAATTGCTGCATAAAAATATTTAGTTAAAGTTTTTATTTTTTTTAATTTAAGGGGGTAGAATTGCTGCATATATTCTAGAGTCTGGCAGAATGAACCCATCACAAAAAGGTTTTGATGTAAGTTATGTTCAAATGATCTTTTTATATGATTTCATTATGATCTAGTTTATTTGTTATTTCTGGTTTAAGGGTTTAAAAAATTTACAAAGACTTTTTTTTTCTTCATCAAAATTATTTTTTTTGTAAAATCAATATAAGAGACACAAAATTTTAAAATATTTGTTAAAGTTTTAAAATTTCTGATCTTTCTAAAAGTTAAAAATTTTAATATATTTTTAACTTTTTCTTAAAAAAATTTTAAGAATAAATTTTTAGGTGTTTCATAGTATATGTTAATAATTTTAAATAAAAAAACAATGTCACCTCTGGAAATGATGTATTATATATGGTAGAAATCTAACTTAGTAAATGACCAAGATTGATATTTGACTGATGCTGAAGCCGGGTTTGATAAAATATAGCCAGGGCCAGGGCTGGGTTTGTGAACGGGACTGCATAAACATTTATATATCTCAAAGTATATTTTTTAATTTAAAATTAATGTTATATTTTGTATATATATGCATATATAAACATCATTATGATCAACATTATTATCATAATCATCATTACCATCATCATCATTATCATTATCATCACAGCTTGGTGATGATGATGACAATTATGATTATCATCATTATTATCATCATCATTATCATCATCATCATCATCATCATCATCATCATCATCATCATCTTTATTATTGTTATCATCGTTATCATCATCATAAGACTTTAGCCTTACTCTTTTATGCTGTTTCTCTAATATAAACAATATAGAGCATTTTTATTCCTAACTAAAGCTCATTCATACAATATGTAAGGCACTCTCTTTAAATTTTCTTACTTCTATTACAACCATTTTCTACTGAAACTGCAATAGTGTAGTAAACCTCTCTACAAGTTGATACCTAAATTACTTTAACTTTTTCTACCAAACGTTGTTTGACACCACGCTTTTTCTAATCTGTCTAAGACTATGCCTCCTTTTCTTGTCTGGCTAGAGTCACACCACACATCCATCTGATCATCTTCTCTTTCGGCAAATACACCATATAAATAATAAAGTTTATATAACAATGAAAGGATATTGTATGCCAGCATCTAAATAAATAGCAAACAGATATGTTTATATCCATAATATGTGTGCAAAAAGTGCATCTTAGAAATCTTGTATCTTATCTCAGATGTTAGGTTCTAGAGACTTTTGGTTAGTTTTCAACAGTGTCATTTGCTAAAGTAAGTCTAACGTTTAATTTCTAGTTCATGGGTCTGATCATTTTACTTTTCTCCAGAATAAAGTAGAGCTATTTGCAAAGAAATCTTACTCTAGTTTGACTCTCAAATATAATGGCCATACTCTTCCTAACAGTTAAACATATTAACCCATTGTTAAACATCGAAATTACTCTGGCTTCCAATACTAAAATTAATTCTCAATTAAACACTTCTACAGTTTGTGCTTCAGACAAGATTTCCATCATAGTCTTAAAAAAGTGTTATCCAGAATTCTCTTAAATTTTTGCTAAGTTTTTAAAAAGTGCTAAATAAGTGGTTCTAATTTTTCAAAACTCAAGAAAGCTCTTTGACCTCTCCCAGTATCCTACAATTTCTCTTCACTCTGTTATTAGTTTCTTATAGGTTTCTATGTAAAGGTTTTGAGGTTATTAAATTATTTCTTTCTAACTACAGTAGTTAAGTTATTCTTGAAGGCCTACCCTCTTCTTTATTTAACTTTAAGGGTACTATATTAGCTCCTGTATTATTTCTTATCTACAATAACAATCTTAATGATATCTAGTGGCTCTATTAACTGATGACTCAATTTTATACTCTTGTCTTGACAAAAAACCTTTACTTTTATATTGCTTATAACACACAGACAATTTTAAATCTGATCTCTTTTCTGTAACAGCCTAAGGCTTGCAGTGGCTTTTGGATTTAAATTCTGGACTTAAAATCCACAACTTTTGTTTGACATCAAAACTCATTTGTTTACTGCAAAAAAATATTGCAATTTTGTTGGCATTCCTATATTGACGAATAACAACCCTCTTACTCTCAGACAATGTCTAAAAGCATATTGTAAATGTAATTAGACCTGGTTTATCTGCCCAGCTTGTGCCACTCTCCCATTGTTATAAGGTTGCATTTTTTTTATTTTTCTACAAACACAATCATGGTCAATGCTCAAACGAGCTATCATCTCTATAATGATAAATCAAGACTCATTCTCGCTTGGCTATAAGTTTAACAAGTTGCATCCTTTTACTGTATTTGTCCCTTCATGCTATAAAACCTTTTTACACCATGATAATTAATGCAGTTTTTTTCTTTGAACATTAAAAAAACCTTATAACTTTTAACTTTTACCCAACATCATGTTTTCCTTTTTGATACAACTTACAATCTTATGTTTTTTATTTAGTTACATGTTTCTTTTTTAACTGATTCTCTATTTTAAAGTAATTCTAAATGAAAATTCCCCAACCATCATTAAGATATATGTCAAAGTTGCTTTCTTGTGTTTTCAGATTATAACTGCTTGTGAATCAGCATTAATTCAAATAACAATATCATAACCAATACATTTTTTTAGTTAAATGTAGTTTATAAACCTGAACTGTGATCTCAGTTCAGGTTTTTTTAAAGTTTATATGCACTTCATAATAAAATCATTTATTATGGAGTGCATATAAAGTAAAAATAAACCTGAACTGAGATGTGAGAGTGACATATTCTGGATGGTTTCATATGAAAAAATCCTTGTCCATCTATGCAACTATCAGTTAAGATGATAAATGCTAATGTAGATTTCTAAAGGTCAAATAGTCTTCTAGTAGCCAAGATAGTCAGTTGCTAAGCAACTATCATTTGCTTAACTGATTACTAGATTTTAAATTATAATTACAGTTTAAAAAAAAATTTAATATTGTTTAAATAAAATAAAATAGATAAATAATAAATAAAGTATTTTTATAATATATAGAGAAGTGCAAGATATTAGTTGTCCTGGAACATCTGACCCTATTTATCATTATAATTTAAATTTATCTATAATAATTATAATTGTTATTTTTTTACTTTGTTAGAAAACTAGTTTGAGATATTAACATTATCAGGTTTGAATTTATGCAATCTGTGGATGTCTTTGATGCCAATAAAAAAAATTAAAAAAAAAGGGGGACAGCGGTTATTTTTTTCTCTTATAAGTTTCTATTAATCTTTTTTTAGATCTGCAACTTATTAGGACTCATGCTCCGTCAATTTTAAAGAAAAATCAAGTTTGCATGTAAAATCTTTTTCTATAAAAAAGTTGTTTCTTTAATGCTTGAAATTAACTAATTTCACGAAGCACATTAAGCGCTTAAGTATCATGACATGCACAACACATTTTTAACAGTGTAATCATGTTTTTAGAAATTTTTAAAGCTTTTTAATGTTTTTAAAAATTTTTAAAAAGCTTTTTGAAAAATTCTCATGCGTTTATTCAGTATATAATATCCTTATATATGTTATGCATATAATATCTATATGCTATGCATATCTATAGGTCTTTAAAAATGTTTTACTTTGTGTTTTAGAAAATTGAAAAAGATTTTTAAAAAATTAGGTGTAAACAAAAGGATTTGAACCCACATGAAGCACTTGATCCATTTTGCCATGTTTTAAAAGAATTAAAAAATACACCACATGTATTAACTGGAAATCAACTTATTTATACATAATAACAAAACAAAATGTATAAAGAAAATTATGTTTAAAAAAAAAATCTGTTTAAAAACTAAATTTGCATTATCAATTAACAATTATTAGATTAACCATTTATATATAAATACAAATAATAGATGCAGGGTTTATTTTATACACCACTCTTATCCACACTCTATATTAAAAATATATATTTAAAAAAATATATATAAAAAAAGCCAGGAGGCTTTTTTTTTAAATGCCCTAAATTTGAGCCCGCACCTTGTGAGATGTGGGCCTTCTATTTGTTCTGCAAAATGCTGGAAAAGCATTGTAAGATATGTCTAAAATTAAAAATTAACACTGCGAACCAATTTGCTGAACCTATTGCCGATTTATTTTATCTGTAAAAGAAAAAATTTATTATATTTATAAAAAAATTTATTTCAAAAGACAAAGACAATAACAAAATCAAAATATAAGAGCTATCAGTGCAAACAAACAATGTAATTCGACCAGAAAATAAAATCATTCTTACCTTGTTTGCAAAAACTAGTTTCTTTTCAAACTATTAGCTAATGATCAACATTGTAAATTTAAAATAGTTAAAGTTTATTCTGTTAAAATCATATTTTAACAGTTTATTCTGTTAAAATTTCTGTTAAAATCATATTTTAACAGTTTTATTCTGTTAAAATTTTAACAAAGTAAACATATAATAGTCTTTAGAGCACCAAAGTAGAACTGAGTAAACAGAATAACAACTAAATTTAAAATGTTTTTAATACATAATATTTGCAGTTAAATATAAAAAATAACTCTACCACCATAAGAAAATTAAGGTACAGTTGTAAAAACAAAAAATTTAAAATTTAGTAAAATGACAATTTTTTCATAAGTATGATCCATACAATTTATAGATTAAAGTATATTCAATAATTATAATTTTTATGATAATGATAAAAAAATATTCAAAGATATTTCAGAGATTTATGAAAGTTAAATAAAAAATTTAAGTACTGCGTGCACATCTACAGTGCTTCGTGCATCATAAGTTAAAGACATCCAAATTGACTCTTCCAATATTATACCAAGTATAACACTTTTATGGTTTTCTAAATTCTGGAATTGTTGCGCACTCAGTTAAAAATGTTTAATGTGAAATAACTGTAAAACTCTAAATTTCCTTGTTATGGTAATATAAAATAGTTTTAAATTTTACATATTTTTAAAAATAGTAAATTTTATAAAATGGTTAAATTTAAAAACAAAATTAAATTTTTTAATTATTTTCTTATTAAAAACATACTTTTTGAGCCCCCTTACTGTTTAAAAAAAGTTTTAAAACGGTAAGGTGTTAAATCATAAGGTTAATTAAGGTAAGGGTTAAATCATCAAGCAAGCTGATGATTTAAACCTATCGCATGGCATATATGTTTAAGTATGTTTTAACATTACATAATATGAAGTTTATGTACGTTCAATATAAGTTACACCTTTGCTCACTTTTTCTTATGAAGCAAAGCTGCTACTCTTTCTCACCAATACCTTGGTTGCAATGGCTGCCAAGGGTTTCATGTCAAACACGCTCAAAGAAACACTATTAAGTTTGCCAATAATATATTTAGATTTCAAGGAGATTTTTATAATCTTCTCTTTATCATGTATTTCAATCCTAACTTTAGAACAAGAGTTTTAATAAACAAACTGGCTGTATGGAGAAAAATTATTAAGTTGGTAACACTATTGGGCTACAACATGAAAAATAGTATTGGAACAAACACAAATTTGTATATTAATTTTAAACGCAAAATTTAACTGATTTAAATGCGGACAAAAACATAATTTAATTCATTCAACATTTTAATTTTTTCATTTAACATTTCTCAAAATAATTTTTTTTTTAAAAAGTAGTTTCTTAGTTATATGAAACAAAAACAACACAAAAAAGTTTTTTTTTCTTTTGTATTTTAATGTGCATAGAGAGTAATTTTCTTTCATCTTCTTTTTTCTTATGCTGTTTAATTATTAAGCATTCTTATGCTGTAACTGAATTATTGCAGTTTTTTATTTTTTTGTTTTGAAATTTTATGTTGGCTTGTTTATAACAAACTTTTGAAAATATATTTTTACTAACATAAATAAAACAAACAATTTCAAAAAATAATAAAACTTTTTATGATCAGCAACATGATTATGTGAGTCGATAAACATGCCAGTTGTGAATAAGCACTTTTAGATCAGTGGTAGAGGTTTTATGACAGTAAGAGCACATGGTCAGTCAATCAATTGTCAGCAACACGATTGAGTGAATTTATTTGCTTAGAAGTTGATAAGGAAATGATAGTTATTTATTCTTCAATCCTTTGTATCTAAAAATGACATTTATCACGATAAGAAGCCAACTCCCGCTGATTGCTTGCAGGGGGCATCTGAGCTTGAAAAGGATCTCACTTCTGCTACAGCATGGGGCTCACAGTGGCTAGTGAACTTTAATTCAGATAAAACTCAATTTTTTTTTTCAGCCAATCGTTATCACAATAATCTAGACCTTCCTATATTTATGAACGGTAATGTACTCGATGAGTTTCCTACCCTTCATCTTCTAGGATTAACTCTTACTTCTAATCTTTCTTGGAAACCTTATATCAAATCCGTTGCAAAATTAGCATCTGCTAAAGTTGCTTCTCTTTATCAAGCTCAACACTTTCTTACTCTGGATTCTATTCTCTATCTCTATAAATCTCAAATCTGGCCTTGTATGGAATACTGCTGCCATATCTGGGGCGGATCTTCTAATGATTCCTTTTCTCTTTTAGACAAGGCGCAAAAACGCAATGTAAACATAGTTGGACCTGCTCTTGCAGCCAACCTTCAACCTCTGTCACATCGTCGTAATGTTGCTTCTCTTTCTCTTTTCTACAAACACTATAATGAGCATTGCTCTAAAGAGCTAGCGTCTCTTGTGCCATCGACTAAAATTTATTCTTGTGTTACTTGTCATTCAATTAAGTCTCATCCTTTTTCTGTTACTGTTCCTAAGTGTTTCAAAAACTCTTACTCATCTAATTTTTTTCCTCGAACATCAGGTCTTTGGAATTCGCTTCCTTCATCTTGCTTTCCTGATTCATATAATTTGCAATCTTTTAAGTCGTCTGTCAATCGTTATCTTGCTCTACAATCTTCATCTTTTCTCTTCCAGTAACTTCCAACACTAATTAGTGGTTGCTTGCAGCCTTATTGGAAGCGAAGATGTTTTAAAAATGATTTAATGATTGAAGATGATTTAAAAATAATAATAATACTTTTTTAAATTTCTCATAAATTATGTGAAACATAATTATACCTGTAAAATTAGGTCATCAATTTTAATTTTGTTTATATATAATTATATTTATAAAAATATTAAAAAAAAAAAAATTTTTTAATGCAATTTCTTATGATGTTTTCAGAAAAAATCATAGATGATTTTTTTGATCACAGATTAATCACCATTAACACTACAATTACTATGAAGTTAACTCATTTTGTTATTTATAACTCTATAAATAATAAAACAAAATTTTTTATGTTTTAAATAGTAATTCTCATATTTTTTTAATCTGGAAAGCATTTCATTTTAATCTGGTTTAAATTGTTCAAATTAATTGTTAATAAATTATTTATGTTTTTATTACTTTACTAGTAACAAAGAATTTAGGAAATCCATGAAAACAAAAGAAAGCAGAAACAAAAGAAACTTTTTTTTTCAGAAAACTTTTTTAAAATTTAAATCTTTATATGTATAATCAGGTTGGGGACCATCCACCAATAACTCCAATGAGATCTGCAAATAGGGACGAGTTTAAACCTAATGAATGGCGTATCTATGACTATGTTACTCGTCATTTTATTGGGACACTTCACGATAATATGGAATATATAGAAAAGAAAATGTTAGTTGATGTTAATGGTTTTCAATTTGAATATGTTTGGCATGAGGTATAAATTTTGTATCAGTCTTTCTAAAAAAATAAAATCTTTATATTGGCAATGTTTTTTTAATGTATTCAATAACGTATTTTCCAAATAACAAAATTTGTATTTAAGTTTTACTGTAATTTATAAATTACAGTATAGTATACAGTATACTTCATAAATTACAGTATACTGTAAAGTATACTTATTAATACAGATTTTTAATAAAATAATTAATGTTTTTAATACAGAAAATTTTAATAAAAGTACTGGTCAAAATTATAGGTCAACCTCTTATATAAATATATCTTATATAAATAAGATATTTATGTAAAATTTTTGTATACATTATTCTTATTTTTGAGAGGTACTGTATTTTTGAAATGCCTTTACATTAGTCATTATAAATGTGCAGATGAAAATGTTGGTCATTATTCATCTTAGAAATATACAATTTTACAAATATATACAAAAAATGTTGTTCAAATTTATAGCACACTCACATTCATAGTAATTTTGACAGTGTGTATGATTAAATGCATTGACCCATTATTGTGTATGATATTTTATTTATCTACTAGCATCATAGTTAGTTATTTAAAATAGCTAATCTTAAAATTTTTTAAAGTTTTTTTAGTAATCTTAAAATTAAAACATAATTTATGCAATGGGTTGCAAAGCAGTGAGCTTTGAGCGACAACAACTTGTAAAAAACTTAATTCAACAGCAATTTAACACTGCTGATATTGCTTAACATACTAAAACGTCCAGAAAATTTGTCTAAAATATTACTGATAAAATTAAATTGAATTTACCAATGAAAAATCGAGCAGGCCAAAAACGTCATTCTAATTTTACAGAAGACTGCTATATAGTGACACTTGCTAAAAAAAAATTGTGATTCAAGTAGAAAAATTGCTATGGAGTTAAATGCTGCAAAACAAAAAACCATTAGTGAAAGAACAGTTTGTCATCATTTGTTAGAAAAAGGGTTGAAATGTTACACACAGAAATGGCGTTGTTGTCAAAATAAGGCTCAGAAAAAGAAGAGACACTCTTGGTGTAAAAAACTATGTTTATTGGACTCGAAATCAGTGGCATCATGTAATATTTAGTGACGAATCACATTTTGAAGTCATAAATAGAAAAAATTATAATTTTGTATGTCGTCTTCCTAATAAAAAAGATTTACTTTTTTTTTTTTACAACAGGAGCACAAGTTTTACAACAGTAGCACAAGGCGGTGGTGGAACTATTTTTGTATGGGGATGTTTTTCTGCGTATGGAATAGATTTATTGAAGTTTTACGAAGGTTGTTTGAATGTTTCTCGTTATTTAGAAGCTAAACAAGAAACATTTTAACTGACACTCATGGACACTCTTTTTGGTTATGAAGCTGAAGATTGTTATTATATGCAAGACAATATACCGTGACACAAAGCAAAAAAAAATTCTGCAACGGTTTGCAATGAAGAATATTGGGTTCCTAGAATTACCATCCATTTCACCTGATGCTAATCCGATTAAAAATTTTTGGTCAATTATTGACCAAAAACTAGAAAATTACAACATAAGCAACACAAATGACTTGAAGGATTCAATTCAAGACACTTGCAACAAGACTTCAATTGATCTTTGCATTAAATTGGTAAATTATGTTCCAGATTGTGTTGCTCAAATTTTTAGAGCAAAATAATCCATCATTTCTCCATATTAAATCGAATTCTAATGTTTTTTTTTATCTAAAATTAGTACTATATATGGAAGAGAATATAACTTCAAGGAGAAGTTTATTGGAGAAAGTACAACCTATAGGAGATATACATATTGAAAAGAGTGCAACTTAAAGAAATTAATATATAAATGTTGAATAATATGCATGTTGAAAAGAGTACAACTAAAGTGCAAGCACAACAACAAGACAAACAAATTCCCTTAAAAGCTTAAAAACATGACATACGAAGAAAGACTCCTGAGTTTAAAATTTAAAATAATATTTAGCTTCAGAAAATATTAACTAAATTGAAGGCGATCTGATACAAGTTTTTAAAATAATCAATAAAAGTGTAGTGTCACAGATCTGTGCAAAGAAATATAGAAATAAAAATATATAAAACAAGAAATATATATATATATATATATATATATATATATATATATATATATATATATATATATATATATATATATATATATTATGGGTTTTTTTTCAACTTTTTTTTTCAAAAAACTAAGCACAACCTTTAAATGTGTGCAAAATAATAAAATAACACTAGGTTTAAAATTTTTTTGAATAAGGGTTTTTATTTTTAATATAATTAGATATTAAAGACCTGTTAAATATTCAAGGGTCCCCCTACACGCTTGAATATTTAATAGGTCTTTAATATCTAATTATATTAAAAAAAAAAGTTTTTTAAAAATAGGTCAACCTGGTACTTAAATAAAGCGAAATTATTTACAAATTTTAAAAATAATAATTTTTTAAACAAAAATGATTTTTTCAACTTATTTATCAAAATTATCATGAAAAAACTTTTAAGAAAATGCACTTTTTTCATTTTTTGTTGAAAAATGTTTTTTTTTTTTATGCAGCAGAACCTAAAATAATTATTTTTTTTCAAAATAGTTATTATTTTTGAAATTTTTATATAACTTTGCTTCATTTGAGTACCAGGTTGACCTACTTTTTTTTATCTATATATATTAGGGGCCCGTTAAAAATTCAAGGGTCTTGAAAGACCCTTAAAATATTTTTTATTCAAAAAAATTTTAAACTTAGTGTTATCTTATTATTTTGCATACTCTAGAGGTTGTGCCTAGTTTTTTGAAAAAAGAGCTGAAAAAAAACCCACCTTTATATATATATATATATATATATATATATATATATATATATATATATATATATATATATATATATATATATATATATATATATATATATATATATATATATATATATATATATATATATATATATATATATATATATATATAAATTTATAAAATAGCAAATAGGTCAATATAATTGCAAAGTTTGGTGGAAAATGTAACTTCTCATAATATAATTTCATGCATGCAGTAGCGTGCAAAAGTAACCGGACAAGTGCATAACTTGAGATATCTTTTGAATGAAAAGTTCAATTTCTTTCACATTTTCACTGGATTGTTAAAAAAATTGATTACAATTCTAAAAACAAATGAATTTTTACTTAATCTAAGCAACCTAATTTTAAAAGTTTATTTTATTGAAATATGCGCATGCTAAATTATCTGGGCAGAAAACAACTTAAAGTACTTTTTTTTTAAACATTTTTTTAATTAAAAATGTTGTAATTTAAATTTAAGGTAAATTCTCTTTAATAGGAGAAGTTGGAACATAGATGAAATATGCTGTTTCGACTATCATATACTTTTAAACACATACTTTCATATTAAATCTTTGTATATATTAAATTTTTGTAATGGCTTTTAGGAAGAGTACTTACTTACAGAAAGTGGATTTTTTTGTTACCTTGGTGTATTTAGGGTCAATGTAAATGGCTTTTAGGAAGAGCAGAGGAACATCAGCTTAGCATTTTGATGGTAAGAAAATACACAAACTGAGTGGCTTCCACTACTATAAACAGTAAGGCACCACTTTGGCCTTAGTTCACATAACTTGCTAAATCCAACATTGTGTTCAGGGTATAACTTCTTAAATTCCAAATAAAGTTCTTTTAAACAAACTAATTTGAGCGTTTTTGTTTATGAACTTTAACAATATTTATACGCACAGAAACAAAGTCTTTTTTTCCTGGACATTTCCTAGTGTATTTGTCAGATTCATATATTTCAATGACTCTCTGCTTAACAATATCCTCCAAAGGATGTCCTTTTGTAGCCTCAGGTTTAGCAAGTATTCCCTTTTCATTTTTCAGCTTTCTGGCTTTCTTAACAAGATGGTCTAAAACTGAAAATGCATTGCAAATTTTTTTAATTGACCAACTATCAGGAGTTAATGTTAGTAACTGAACCTTTTCATCATTCAAACTGAATTTTCCTTTTTTCTTTATTGCATCTATAAGTTTTTCTAAATAATTACAGTTGATGCATTTTTGCTTTTTCTCAGATATTATTTCTTTTGGGTCTATATCCAATGCTGACGATATATCTAATGCTGATGCTACTAGGTTTGTCATACTTGTTTCCAGTTTTTTAACTTTTTGCTTTCCATATTCTAATTTGTCACGTTTGCTTACATTTTTTAGAGGAGATATATCCAGTAAAGAAGCACTCTTATTTCAAACTGTCTTATTTAGGTCTGAAGAACTAAACTCCTCATCATCAACATCTTTGTCTTCATCTTCTTGACTAAATTTTCCTGTAATCTGTTAAAGTTTGAATTCATTCAAACAGTTAGTGCAAAGTTTTTGACCAGGTTTGATTTTAAGTTGCCTTGCTGTTAAAATATCGACCTTACACAATCTCTTAATAATTTTTGTCTTGTAGACTTCAAATGGATCACAGCAGTATTTTTGAAGCGTTTCATATCTAGAAATATAGGCTTTTCCATGGTGAAAACATATCTCCTCATTTAGTTCAAAAGTGTGACCAATTCTTTGAATTAAAACTTCAACATCTGTGTTCACAATATCTTTTAGTTTTATTCTTCCAATCATTCTACAATAATACGTTTTGTTGCAATCTTAATTTAAAACTTTCCCCGCACAACATTTCTCTGTCATTTTTTACCATTTTTTTATTTTTATTACTTATCTAAAAAGTTTAAAAAAGACATAAATATATTAAATCTCAAAAAAACTAACAAATATCAGACACTGATTATGACACTGATTATTTCATTATTATTAGGACAAATTAAGACATTATGTCATTAAAAAAAAAATTGAATATATTCATTCAGAGATAAATAAAAAATATACTACTGTTATATCTATGACTAATTATTAGACTATGCTCATAGGCTCATAGTTTAATAGCATTCTCCTTTTGAAAATATCATCACTCTCAAAATGCTACAATCATGTCATAAGATAGAGATAGTTCTTTAAATTTTGTTTGGTGATTGTCTATATAAAGAACCTCAACATTAAAAAGTTTCATAATTTATTTCAACTGTTCACGCTATTTTCTATGCCAGCAAAGTCAATGTAATTTATCATAATTAAAAAAAAAAAAATTTTTTTAATAGACTGCTGCATGTGCTAAATTAATTTTTAATGCATATTTTTGATTATTCTAACAAGTGGTGACCCTAAATACACCAAGGTAACAAAAAAATCCACTTTCTGTAAGTAAGTATTACACTGTAACATGTTGAAGTTCGAAAAAATATTTATAATTTTGCAATATTTAGCAACTTTGAAGTACAATAACTCAAAAACTGTAAAAAAATCAGTTAAAAACAACTGCAACAACGAATTATTTGGGTGAAAAACTATTACCCTACAGAGTTTCAGATGATCACCATCTTTATTTTGAAAATTATGCTTTGTCAAAAATCGAAAAAACTGCTGTAAGCTCCTGATACACAAATATTTCAGATTTTGGTCATTTTTAATTCAATCATAACTTTTGAACAAATTGGTCAATCAAGTTAAAATTTTCTGGATTGTATTTTATTCATAAGATCTGTGTGTGGTCAAAATTTAAAGTAAATCTGAGGTGGTACCCTAGGAGCCTATAGGTGATTTGATATGGAATAACCCAAAAATAAGTTAATGCTTGAAGGGTTAAGAATAAAATTATTTTAATAATAACAATTTTCAGTCAATGCTTTTTTTAAACAGCCCAAATAGGCAATTTATGATTTTTAATTTATTTAAAAATAATTCATTTCATTGCAATGACTTTGCAAATAGTTTGAAATAAAATAAGAACTTCAATCATTTAAGAAAAAGGATTTTCACAATCGGTAAAATGAAATTAATATAAATAAGTGAAGCAAAAAACTTAATGATTATAGTTTACGTCGTTACGTACATTATGTGCAATACATCAGCAAAGTGAGTTAATAAGTTCAGGGTTGTTAATAATTATCAGATAAATTACTGAAATATATTATAAGTAGTATAATAATAACAAGTTATTAATACAATATTAATTTTATTATTAAATTATTGATAAAAAATAAATTTATTAGAACATTTTTAAAACAAAGATAAAAACCAGGCAAAATTGAAAAATAAAAGGGATTAAAGAAAAAATTCACTTTAATTTCTTTTTGCTTTCAAACTTTTTGCTTTAATGACCCACTAGCAATTAAAGTAGTGTAATCATAAACAAAAAAGCTATTTTAAACACTTTTTTAAAATTTTAATAATTTTATAAAATCTTAGTATATGCATTTTCCAAATAACATCCTAATTATTTGTCAAACCTTGGTTTTAAATCTCTGATTTTTTTCAACCGGTCAACTATGACTAGTAGGAGTTCATTTTGGTAGGTCAAAGTAGCATTTTTAGTCATTTCATGAGGTCATTGACTGTTGAACAGCCATTATTTTCCATGTTGAACTGTCAAATTTATATATTTTAAGTGCATATTTAAAAAGCTATTTGAAAATATTACAGAAAAAAAAGAAAGCCTAAAAATTTTTTTTTAGGCATTTTTGTCTTATAATTATTCATTGTTATTGTGACTTACAGAATGTTGTTCGCAGTATTTTTATTGTATTTAAATTATTTGTATATTTATATTTGTTTAATTATATGGATAATTTAGTTTTTGTGTCTTTTATAGATATAATAGACACAAAAACTGCCACAGCTGTATAATATTTAATGTAAAACCCACAGTGTATAATATTTAATGTTCTAATATTTAGATTACGGACAAAGGTTTTATGTGGGCAATGCCGTGGAAGTTAAAAGGTCTAAAATTAAATGAATCTTACATGCCTCCAATTAATATGTTGCAGGGGTTAACAACAGGAGTCTTAAATTTTCTCAAAGATGAAAAGTACACACAACCACCAGATTATCTTCAGGAAAGTGAGCTCATATCTCTTATGGATAAGCATGGGATCGGTACTGATGCTTCAATACCTACCCATATAAAAAACGTCCAAGATCGTCATTATGTTGATGTTTGCGGTCCTAGTGAAGGTGGGCAGCGTGGTCAGCTTATTCAAGAGAATAAGTTTTTTGGGAAAAATAGTCGTGGCAAAGGACAAAAACAGCAGCCAAAAGCACTTTCTCGTCACATGGTACCTCGTGGGTTTGGTTTAGCATTTCTATCATGCTTTGAAGATCTGGATAAAGAACTTTGTGAACCTTCAATTCGTGCTTATATGGAGCAGCAAGTCAGCAAAATTGCTACAGGTGAAACAGATAAAAATGAAGTTGTCTCAAGTAATCTTAAGTTATTTCAACAGAAGTTCATTTATTATAGAGAAAACTTAGAACGTGTTAGTAAGTACTTTGCACCCAAAGTTCAGGGTGGCCACTCTGGAAGAGACTTTAGTGGTGATAACTCAAATCAAAATTACAGAGCAGGGGATTATAGACAAAATAATATTCAGAAAAAGGATTTTGGAAGCAGAGGTAGAGGTAGAGGTGATTTACATAGGGGAGGAAGAGGAGGTTCCAGTAGGGGAGGTAGGGGTGGAAATTTTAATAGTAATGAACAGTACAAAGCTCAAAACTTTGAAAACAGATATCAAAATGATGGATATGGTTCTTACAATCAAAATGAAAATAATTTTAAAGTTGAAAATCAAACAGGTGGTAATTTCCAAGTAAATAGTTTCGTTAATCAAGGAGGTTTTCAAAATAGTGGCCAACGAGGCTCTTTTAGAGGAGGTTATAACAATAATAGAGGAATGGACATGAGAAGTTACAATAATGTTGGAATAAAAAGATCTAATCCTTCAGAAATTCCAGCTGACGATGTAAAACGTTTTCATCATTCATATTAGATTTTTAAAAACAATTACAAATTTATATTATAAATTTAATAGTAAATTTTTAATGTTTTTAAAAAAGATTTATGTTTGTTTGATTTTTTTTTTTAATTTAAACCTAAACTTATTTATTGTTGCTAATTTTTTTTTTTTTTTTTTTACTTGTTATTTAGAAAAGCAAAAACTAGATCAATTTTTTTATTACTGTTTTTTTATTAACTTTCCTTTATTGTAACTGTTTGATCTGTTTAATAGAATTTTTCTCATGCTTATGATCTTATTATCTGTCTATAATAATTGTATGATTCCTCTTATATATATATATATATATATATATATATATATATATATATATATATATATATATATATATATATATATATATATATATATATATATATATATATATATATATATTATAAATGTCAAAAGAACATAATTATTTTTTGTTATCAAAAAGAACTTACCAAATAGTTTTTTAAAGTTATTATTGGATTTTATTGGACTTATACTATGACGGATGGATAAATAATGGATGATAGCTTAAAGAATGTTTCTAACAAGAAAATAAGAAATTATGAAGGTGAATTATTATCTGTTTATCTCTGTTGTGTTTTAAATTTTTTTTTTTTTCTATTTACATATTATATATTTATTATAAATGAAAAACTTATATCTGTTTTAAATGATTTTAATTTAATTTTTTATTTAATTTAAATTTTATTTATTTTAAATTAAATTTAATTTTTATTTATTTTATAATTTTTTTTATTCTATATCTATTTTAAATAATTTTAATTTAGTTGTAAATAATTTTAATTTAGTTGTAATTTTTAAACAGTTTTATTATTGTTATTTATCAATTGTTTTTGTTAAGTTTAATTAATTTTTTAATATTTTATTATATATATCAGGGGTGTACATTTTGGTGTTTTCCTGGTTGCCCTATGGCCAACTGTAATGGTTTTTATTTCTTGCTAAAGTTGTCCGCTATAATATCGGTAGTTTTGTATAATTTTTTTTTTTTTTTTGGGTGAAAATACTGAAAAAAATTTTTTTTAATCTGACTGCTGAAATATGACTAATAAGAAACGGTTTAATTAAAAGTAAATTAATTGATTAATAAAAAAGTAAAATGTTGTAAGTTGTTAAAAAAAAGTGTTGTCTTTAGTAAGATATTGGTAAAAAAATAACTTGAAATTTAACTTTTAAATAATGTCATTTTTTTTTTCATATTCTATATCTGATTTGTGTCATTTCTTTTTGTCAATCTCAACAAAGGTAAGTAATAAAAAAATAAATTATGCAACATTAAATTTAACATTAGACAAAACAAAAAAGAACAAAAGTTTTCCCTCACCGAGTCTTCAATTAAACCTAAGTTTAAATTAGCGCTTTAAGTTCAATGAAAACCACAGCAGAAAGCTATTTCTTATATAAGTTTAGTGATGTGTAATTTATGTACAATTCATTATGCAGAGCAAAATGTTGAAAGCCATAACCGCAAAGAAATGTTTAATAAAAAGACAAATATTCTATTCTCTCTCAATTTTCAATCAAATTTAATTTAGTTTATTTCTTTAAAATATTTATTGTAATTAATAAAACTTCTTTTTTTAGAAAAAAAAGCTTTTTCATGTACATCACAAAGTGTATTCTAACAATATTTTTTTATTTGCATTCTGATTTTTTTATTATATTAATTTTGTTTGATGAAATTAAAATAAAAATTTATTTTACTAATGAAAAAAAAAGAGATTTAGTGTTATTAATGATTCCACTGTCCATTCAGGTGATTCAAAATGCAACTATAACATCTAAAAAACAGTACATTAGCATTTTGCATTAAAGGATTTTTTTTTAAATCATTTTAAATTGAGAATAAGCGTGCTTTAAAATGTAACAATAGCGTTTAAAAAAAACAGTCCAATCGTACTTTGAAATAATCGGCTTCTTTTTATTATGTTTAGTAAAATTATGTAATGCACAATAGTGTGTTCATTATTAAATGAAGTGTATACTAGTTTAAATGCTTTTAAAAGTTTTCTTCAAAATAATCACAAGTAATAAATGCTTCATAGTTCAAAATATGATATTATTAATAAACACTCTTTTGTAAGTAACAAACTGTTATTGCAAAAAATGAAATTTAAAAAAATGCCTGCCAGTAGCCCGCTACTGGCAGGCATTTTTTTAAATTTCATTTGCTCTTTTAGAAAATAAGTCGCCCATGCCACCAGATGACCATAAGAGTACACCCCTGTATGTATATACATATATATATATATATATATATATATATATATATATATATATATATATATATATATATAATTTGTAACAAAAATTAAAATGTGTTAGTGAGTATTTAGCCCCCAAAACAACAAATTATAGGCTGGACAATACAGTTCAATGTTCTTTGTACTTACTAACATGTTCCAAGTTATAATACTTGTTATCTATATATAAGTTATAATATCCCAACAGTTCTAAGTTAAAATAGATAATATTATACTGTAAATATTTTCACTTTTTATTTAAGTCCTGCAAACCTTGTTAGAAACAAGGAGTGAAGAAAAATTATGCAGAAATAAAGAAAGTTATCTAATTGCATGTAAAGAAAATGGTGTTGTACCTGTTTCATATTATTTACACAATAATAGCAAGCGCAAGTTAAATATGTCTCAGAGAGGGCTTGGTACATTGGGTACGAAGGCTTTATGTGATTCTTTAACAGTAATATTTTTATACTTTTTACTAACTTAAAAGTTATCAGTTTTAGAAAAAAAATTAAATCTTTTTTTAATTTATTATACTTTTTCTTATTTTAATTATTGATGTTAAATCTTTACTGTTATATTTATATACACTTATATTATACATTCTATATATTTTTTGTATATGTATTATTTAAAAATAAATATACATAGTTATTACATAATAATGAAATGTTTTTAAATTAAAAACAAAATAAGTTATGACACTTTTTCTCAACTTTTGAAATAAACATTTAATATTTTAACCTAAACTTTCATAGTTTGAAGGTGTAATTTAATTTAAATTGTTGCAAATAACATTGGAAAATTTTTCCAATTTTATTTGCAACATTTTTTACTTTTTTTATTTTTTTATTTTTTTGTTTTTGTTTTCTTGATATTATCACCAAATCAATAACCAAAAATTCAAATAGCTAAAGAAATGTTATGCCCCAATGTTGTGTGGCAATACTAACATAGACAGTTTTCATTATGATGATAATAGCCACTATTAGTTAATTATATAGAAAAGTACGACGTAATTATTTTTCCTCAACAAGTTTGTCTATCAATATTTGAAACATACATGGTAACTTTAAATGTAATTCTTTAAAATTTGGAGCAATTTATTGTTTTGTTTAAATGCTATGTATTCTTCCTGCGATTTTTTTAATAAGAAATAAAAGAAATGGTGGTAAGATGGCGGTAAGCCTTTTTTAAGTTCAAAGTGGAGAATACTTTTTATTTTATTCCTTTATCATATTGTCTGTTCTAGGAAAAGCATTTACATCAAAATAAAACAAAATATTCTTAAAATGTTCAATAAACAATTTTTGGAAATACATTTTTAAAATATAAGTTTTTGATGAATAGACCACATTATTACTTTGAACATTGCAAATTTGTTAAAACAGATATATTTTAGGGAAACGAAAACATGAAAATATTACACCAACTCTCATACTATTTAGCATCACTACTATTAACATATTTATCTTTGTTATAAATTCTTCCAAATACCGAATTATTATTATCATTATAAATTGTTCCAACTATAAATTGTTCTATATACTGGGATCCCAGTATTTGGAACAAGTTAATGTTTGTGTGTAATGTAAAAAGAACAAGAAATACAGGTATTAAAAAAGTTGAATACCGTTATTTTATGGAATTTAGTTGACTGTTATCGAATACTGTTATTACATGGAATTCAGTTGGCTTTTATTGGCGTACTCTACAAAAAACTTAATAATGAGGATAGTCTGCATAATGAAGAAGATGCAAAAGTTACATCAGTTCTTACACCCAGATTTGAAAAAGAACAGAATTCCACAGATGACAACGAATTAATTGATGAAGATTATGAAAATTAAAATGGTTTACTCATAATCTCCACTGAAAATGATGATGATAATCTTCTTTTCTGGTACATCAGCAAACATCACCATTAATTTAAAAAAATTGAAAAGTGGTCAAAATATTTTGTTCTTCACCTACAAAAAATGATAAAATCCTACAAAAATATGTAAAAGAAGAGTTCAGGAAAGAATTGTCTCTGGTTTTAGACTCAATAAAAAAACACAATAGAATAGTTTGTGTCTATGAGATAGAACGTTTTGTCAAATTTAAAAATTGCATCAAAAAGAGTCTAATAGATTTAAAATCAACTATTTCGTTTTCAGATGCAGAGTTTGAAATGTTATCAAATATCCTTTCAGTTTTACTTCCTATTAAGCTTACAGTTAAAGCAATCTGCAACTTTGTTATCTGCCCCATGCTGCTATTCAAGTTATGATGAAATCAATAACTGGCCATCCATGTCCATTAATTTATGAATTTAAAGCAACTTCAAAAGTATGTATTCTTGAAAGACGAACAGAAATTTCAAGTTTATGCAATTTATGAAATTTATGAAATGTTTTTTGAGGTTTAGTATGAACATATGGTTAATTAATTGTTTTGTACATGCACATGCAATACTGAGAAATTTTACTATTGGAGTCGGAGTCGCGATTTTGTTTAGCGACTCTGACCCTGCTAAAAATGTTGCAACTCCGCGTCTCTGACTCCACAGTCCCGGAAATTTTCAATACCAAAAAACCAGTATTTGATTTTTAGTCCAGTGTTCCCAACCCTAGTTGCAACCTAGTAAAGCTTACAAAAAACAACTGTTTTTTTTTTCTTCTAAAATCATAATGATAAATAATCACTCCATTGACTAGTTTTTAACTATATGAGTGACACTGAACCTAATTTTGTAAAATATAATTAACTTAGTAATTTGTAGTTTTATGGTTAAACATGGATTTTTAAAAAATAGTATGTATTGTTTATTTACACTATCTTTTTTTTTTTTTTAATTTTATTAAGGTGTCCCTAGAAGTCCTTACGGTCTTATCACATAGCACTGTGGATGAGCATTCAAATGGAAGTTCACGTCTCTTTCCTAACTGTTGTCATAAAATTTGCCTAGAGGTGAGATTTGAACCACAGATATTTTGTTTCTGAGGCAAGTGTGCTACCACTGCGCCACGGCTGCTCAATTTTGATAAAATATTTCTTCAATAAAAATTTAAAATGATTTGAAGTTTACTCTATATTATGAGATTTAAATGCATGGAAAATTTTTGCGTTTAAATGCAAAACTCTTTTTGTTGTTAGATAATGAAACTCTTTTTGTTGTAATAATAAATTCTCTATTGTAATTCTGTAATTCTAAGTCGTTGTTATACAAATTCTTTTATAATAGAGACCAAATTGAAAGTTACACAGCCTTTTTACGCAGTTTTGGTTTAAACTTTTTTAGCATTTTTTTAGTTTTGTTAAAGTTTATTGTTATAATCTCTTTAATTAAAATTTAATCTCAGGTTTTTACTCATTTCCCTCATCAATTTTTTTCATTTACTCATCAATTTACTCATCAATTTTTTTTCATTTACTCATCAATTTTTTTTTTTTTTTTTATATCATGTTTTTATTTAAATGTGTTTATAAAACTTAAATTTTAGTAGAAAAACATTTTGAGCTGTTAGTAAAAGTTTTCTGTTACGAAATTTATTTAAAACTTTTTTTTAAAATTTCCAAGTATTACAATCTTTTTTATTGTAACATAATTGACATAGTTGTACTCCTGAAGCATATTTTAGCATAATTAGCCTAATCATGCGGTAGTGGTGTAGCATAATTAGTCTAATTGTACTCCAGAAGCTTCAAATTTTTTTGGAAAATAGTAACTACAATCTTTTTTGTATAAATAAATCTATTATTCAACTTACTTTTAAAGTCCTCTATCAGTAATAATTCTTAAATTATTAAATTAAATTAAAATCTTATATATAACTTATATAATCTTATAATCTTATAAAACTTATATAACTTATATAAATCTTATAATAACAAAATCTTAAATTAAAAAATAATTCTAAAATTCAACTTTTTTTTTTTTTTTTTTTTTTTTTTTTTTTTAACATCTTCACTTCCAACAAGGCTGCAAGCAACCACTATAAGAGTTGGAAGTTACTGGAAGAGAAAAGACTAAATCTGTAGAGCAAGATAACGATTGACTGATGACTTAAAAGATTGCAAATTATATGAATCAGGAAAGCAAGATGAAGGAAGCGAATTCCAAAGAACTGATGTTCGAGGAAAAAAACTAGAAGAATAAGAGTTTTTGAAGCACTTAGGAACAGTCACAGAAAAAGGATGAGACTTAATTGAATGGCGAGTAACACGAGAATGAATTTTAGTAGATGGCACAAGGGACGCTAGCTCTTTAGAGCAGTGCCCATTATAGTATTTGTAGAAAAGAGAAAGAGAAGCAACATTACGACGATGTGACAAAGGTTGGAGATTGGCTGCCAGAGCAGGTCCAACTATGTTTACAATTCGTTTTTGCACCTTGTCTAAAAGAGAAAGAGCATCATTAGAAGATCCGCCCCAGATGTGGCAACAGTATTCCATACAGGGACGGATTTGAGATTTATAGAGATAGAGAATAGAATCTGGAGTAAGAAAGTGTTGAGCTCGATAAAGAGATGCAACCTTAGCAGATGCTAATTTTGCAATGGATTTGATATACGGTTTAAAAGAAAGATCAGAAGTAAGAGTTAATCCTAGAAGATGAATGGTAGATGACTCATCTAGTACATTACCATTCATAAATATAGGAAGATCTAAATTATTACGATAACGATTGGCCGAATAAAATTGAGTTTTATCTGAATTAAAGTTCACCAGCCACTGTGAGCCCCAAGCTGTAGCAGAAGTGAGATCCTTTTCAAGCTCAGATACCCCCTCCAAGCATTCAGAGAGTGTAGGCTTCTTATCATGACAAGAGTAAATGGTAGTGTCGTCAGCGAATAATGCCACCTTAGATGTGAGAATATCTGGAAGATCGTTAATGTAAATTAAAAAGAGTATAGGGCCAAGGATTGAACCTTGAGGAACCCCTGAAGTTACAGGATGTGAAGAAGAGTGTTGTCCATCGAGGACAACTTTTATACTACGATTGGAAAGAAAGGACTCAATAATCTTAAAGACGTTACCAGCTACACCATAAGAAGAAAGCTTATGGAGAAGACCAGCATGCCAAACTTTATCAAAAGCTTTAGAAATGTCAAGTGCGATAGCCTTAACCTCTCCACCTCTATCTAATGCACGGTAAAACCTATCGGTTATTACTGTTAGCACATCAGCTGTAGAACGAGAAGACCGAAATCCATATTGATGATCAGAAAGTAAGTTATTTGATTCAAGATGAGAGATTAAGTGTTTGTTGATTAAAGATTCAAAAACCTTGCTTATGACAGGAAGAAGACTAATGGGACGGTAGTTAGATGAATCAGATCGCTCTCCGGAATTTTTGAAAATAGGGATAACAGATGCTGCTTTCCAGCATGATGGAAAACAAGACTCTGATAAGCACTTGTTAAATAGTTTAGAAAGTATGGATGAAAGCTCCGGAGAACACCTCTGCAAGACTACAACAGGAATGTTGTCAGGACCACAACTTACTTTTAAAAAATGTTGTCAGGACCACAACTTACTTTTTTTTGTCAGGACAAAACTTACTTTTAAAGTCCTCTATCAGTAATAATTCTTAACTTTTGTTAATAGCTTTCAAAGTTTATGTTTGACCAAATATAGAATTATGTAAACCTTTCTGGAATCCCTATCTTTTGAAAGATTTATGTAACAAAAAAGTCCAGGGATATTATGCAAGAGTTGTCTGTAAAAGATGTCATGTTTCTTATAATCTTAAACTATCTTCAATCTTGACTCTCCTGAATGTTTTAAAATAAAGTTCTTATAATGACATACAAAGTAATACACAACCTTATGGGCTTATCCATGGCCTACTTTATACAATTAATAATTGTAAGCTTACAAGTTTATTGATTTTAAATAATTTGGTGTCTTATATGCACAACCTTGTTGAAAAAAATTTGGATGGTTTAGTTAATGAACTATCAAATTTAATTTTTTACAAATCCAAAGGTTGTCCTCCATATTTTTCACAAGTATTACGTTTTGCACTTATGCAAAGATATTCATCATTTCAGGCTTATTCCCTTCTTTTGAAACAACTCCCATTGCTATCAATGTCACTACTAAAGAAGTTAGTTTCTGGTGGAATCGATTCAAGAAAATCATTAAAACTGTTATTAAATGAAAGGAAAATAAGCAATGGCTGTGTTCTCCTTTTTGATAAAATGTATTTACAGCAATCTTGTGAATACTACAGTGGTAGATTTATTGGTCAAGATACTGAGGGTATTCTTTACAAAGTAATAATTGTGTTTATGATCATTGGTCTTAAAAAATCAATACCATATGTTATTAAAGCTATCCCAGAAATTAGTCTTACTGGAGATTTTATTAAAGATGAAATAGAAGAAAGTTTAAATACATTAAGATCTGCTGGTTTTAACATTCGTGCATTGATTGCTGATAACCATCCAACTAATGTGTCAGCTTATTCAAAATTACTCAGCGTTGATGGTTCAGAGAAGCCAGAAGAAAATTTTTGTATCACTTTTAATGGTCATATAATTTATTTGATGTATGATAGTGTACATTTGCTCAAAAACTTAAGAAATAATTTCATTAGTACCAACAAAGTTTATTTTACTATCATTTCAGTTCACTGATTACATTTTTAATACAAAAGACTCTGCAGGTGATATATCTTGGGTAGTGCTAGTAAATTTACCGATATTTTAAAAAACCGGTAATTCGGTGTAAAAAAAAAAGATTACCGGGTTACCGGTAATTTACCGGGTTTTTTTGCTTAAATAGTTATAATCTAAACACTGAAAACAACAAAAAGCATAACAAATGAATATATTATTATATATTAGTAAAACAGCATCAGTTTGCAGGTCCATCCTAGTTAAAAATAAATAAATTATACAATCAAATAGATCTTTTTTATATAATAAAATATAATTAATTCATTTATTATACATTAACATTTTTGTATTTTAGCGTAAACATAAACAAACATAAATATAAAAAAAACTTAATTTTTGAAATAAAAATAATTAATATAGTCAATTCTTTTCAAGACGCATAAATTGTTTATTGAAGTAAGCTCTTAAAAAACACATTACATTTAATGTTTCGTCGTTTAAACTTGTTCTGTACCTTGTGCCAATTAAACCTGCTGCAAACTCTTTCTGACTCTACACTGGTTGGGCGAGCTGCTGAAATATACTTTTGGAGTTTGTTTAAATATTTTCCTTCAATATTTTGTACCTTGAAATACGCCATTTCTTTCCTGACTATATTTAAAAAACCGGGTGTTGTCTTCGGATCACTAATCTCTTCGTGAGAAATAGTTATCTTTTTTTTTTTAATTACTAAATCAAGTTTTTCCTTCATTGACATTGTTTGACTTGATGTCGCCACTGCTGATAAAACCGTAGATTCACTAGTTGATTCAGTTTCATACACTTGCACAACTTCAGCTTCAGTAATTTCGGAATCGTTTTTTAAAAATTGTTGAATTATTTCTACAATATTTTTTTCCATAACTAATTTACTTGTTGTATTAAATGCACCATAATTATTTTCCTTGTTTAAAGCTGTACGTGGACATGGTTCATGAAGATATGAATATATATCAGAATATACAGTTCTTCTCTCACTTATTTGAAATATTAAATCTTGTTTCAATTCATTACTTAAGAAATTATTTTGGTTACTTAGTTCATCCAACATGAACCTAATTGTCAAATCTGCAACATATAGGTTCGTGTCCCTTGAACAGAGAGCTTCTACAGCTACTTTAACAGGTTGCAAAGCCATTATTATATTTGATACAACATTGAGATCATTTTCCGATAAATCTATATCCGATTTGATATCGATTAGACTCTTACAAACACAATTTTTAATCTCATAAATTCTTTCCAACATTATCAACATACTGCTCCACCATGTTTTCGTGTCAAGGATTAGTGTAAGTTTTTTTT